TTTCTTTCTCTCTTGCACCTTTTCTCTCTCCTTCTTTCTTCTTTCTTTCTCTCTCTCTCTCTCTCTCTCTCTCTCGTTCATCCTCTTTCATTCTCTCTGCCTTTTTTTCCTCTCTCTCAACCGTTTGTTCTCTTTCTTTCTCCCTTCTCTTTTACACCCACTGCTCTTTCTCCCTCGATAATTTAAAATCGATGGAAGAATACAGATTCTATAGTTTTAATATTTATCATGTTTTTTTTATTCATTTTTAAAATCTCTCTCTATATCAGTGGTTTTCAACCTTTTTGCTGGAGCGGAACCGCAAGGAAACATTCCAGTGGCTGGAGGAACCCCTGCAATAAATTGTCTTATATGCAAAACAGCTTCAATTATTAAAATAAAATAAAAATACTCATCTTCAGATTTATTTACAAACAAATACAAAGACAAACTGTAAAAATATTGTATACGTACATATGTAATTTTAATCTTGCTTCTACGGTTATTACACATGTATTAAAAAACTTCAGTTTAAAGTTTATTTTCATTAAAAATTCAATGAGAAACTTGAGCCTGATGTTTCTTGCACAAATCTTTAATATTGGGTCGTGTTTTTGACAGATACATACAAAGTTCATCTTCAACACATATCTGCACAGGAGAATTAAAAATTACTGTTCAATGATAGTACTTGTGTAACTTCTTGCGGAACCCCTGGGCTTTACTGGCGGAACGCTAGGGTTCCGCGGAACCCTGGTTGAAAACCACTGCTCTATATATATGCGCTTCTTCATAATTACCTACCTACTTATGGTATGTCATGTTCAAGAGCAGTAAAATTCAGATAATGATGATATGTAGGATAGATAATGTGAAGAGGTTAAGGCTGTAGTAATGAGGGAACCATCCTCGTGGGAATCTGTTCCACAGAGTAGCCGTTCTCTGAAAAAAGCTGTCGGAGTTTCTTCTTACCAATAGAATACAAAATGAATGAGGACGATAGGTGACATGGTGTGTCTAAGCTCTAAGGATCTGAACCGATGGACTGGTCAGTTTGTTTTTTTATGTCTTATCAACCCTTTGTGTGTTATTTAAAATTGAAACATATTATGGATTGTAAGGATAATTAGTTGCTTTTTTTGTGGGAAAGGAATATTTCATTACCATATTTTAGCATAACAATGGTTTTTCCCAAGTGCCAGTCTTACCATTTAACCCATAGATTGAGGGAGAAATGGATTCAGAACTTTCCCAGGGTTATTTTCACGTGAGTAAATGCAGCGAACTCGACTGAAATTCGAACTCAGCTCTCCAATTTATTATACCGAGCCGATAACCATTACACCATCCTCGCATTCATTGAACCAGTGGAACTAATGAATGTTGTTCGTCTGAACATTTGCCATTGAAATAGCGATAGAAGAGTGACAGGTTTCCGGCGTTTTGTCTGTGGGAAAAGGGGGTTTGTTTGGTGGAACTTCATCACCTACAAGACTTCCCAAAATCTGACCAAATGAGCCAACATTATTTTTGTTAAAATTCTTCCATAGACAGGTTTAATATTTTCAGCTCCTATGATCGATGATCCCGTTTCTACATGGCCAACATTCGTTATTGTTCTTTTGTTTCATTTATGTTGGCCTTAATGTGTTTTCTTCTTATAGAATTGTTCGAGGTCATCATAATAGATATTTAGTTTCTTTCTTCGTAACTTCCTTTTTTTTACCTTTTTTCTTCTTTTTTTCACTTTTCTTCTTTTTATTTTGTGAGCAATAAATTCACAATCTTTAAATTACTAGAACTAGATCTTGTTTGATGGCCTACAATTGGTTATCATTCTAAATTTCCAAGTTCCATATACGCACTTTTTTTCCTTTTCTTGCATATACAATCGATTTATTATTTACATTGTTTATATTGTCTTCATCTTTGTTGTTGTTAGCATATTGTGTCCTCAGGTGTATATCTATCTAGGTAACCGACAAGGAATTCTGAACCCTTTATTTAATCTACGGGGATAGGCGTTTCTCGTTCTGCTGCCCAAGGATATCTCATCTAGTTTTTATTCTTTACAAGTGTTCAGTTATTACTCACCCATTCCTACTGATTCCAAGTACACACTGCCCGACTCAGGGACTGAACTCACAATTCAGATACAAACGATCGATTTGGGCACCTCGGCGTGGTGTAATAATTAGCAAGCTTGTCTCGCTAAAACATGTTACGACTGAGTAGTGAGTTCGATCCTCACTGGGTGCTCCATACTTCCGGCCTTGTGCCACATCTAAGCAGCGCTTAGAAAATCACTATATTGGGCGCCTCGGCGTGGTGTAATGGTTACCAAGCTGGTCTTGTTACAACTGAATAGTGAGTTCGTTCCTCACTGGGTGCCCCATACTTAGAAAATAAATACAAACGATCGATTTACAGGTAGCAGTTGTTTTCGCAATTCCGTGTGGATCACTTTTCCTAATCTATCATATCTATTTTTATTGCTCGTTATATGATTATGGCTGGCCACTCGTATGTGAGGATAACCATTTATTAGGGTGGCTAGCTAATCCCTATTGCAGCCGCTTACTCGGGCGCATTTTGTGTTTGTTCAACCTGTGGTTTATACTGCAACAATCCTAAGCAGACCTTAGTTACGGTTTCTGGGGGAGAAGCAAACCCTCGGTCACTATGACTTGTGACAAGATCCCCCAACGACGGTTCCGTCTACAAGGCTTGGGTCAACCCGTGGTATAGTTTTCAGGCAATTTCCTCCAGACTGATAACTCCAAGAAGTCCATTGTCAGAAAGCAAGCGTTCTAACCACTCGGCCACGTGCACATAAGATGATTAAGCACCTAATTTTTATCTCGATAAATGCAGGGCTTAATATTTTCCCGTAATCTCTCTAGCTTCGCCATAATATAGCTTTCTCTTTCAAAATATATACTGGAATTCTATTAATATAGATTCCATTTCTCTCTTCAAATGTCCTCTTCGTAATTATAGTAATTATGATTATCAGCATCAGAGTGACATTCTTGGCTGACATGAAGTCGAAAGACTATATTGAATCCATTTCTAGGTCAGCTACTAAGAAAGTTTGTTTACTGTATCGTGCTAGAGATTTTGTCTCCCCAGAATCTATCTTACAGATCTATAAGTCTACCAGTTGTCCATGTTTACAATATTGCTACCACATATGGTCTGGTTCTCCCGCTATATACCTAGAAACACTTGATAAAATCTAAAAAAAATTCAGCTATATTATTCGATGTTGACTATATGAATTTAAGCGCAGTATTATTTGAGGTCTAACCAATTTACGGTTGAGTTGGCTAGATGTAACCGTAGGTTCTATGCTAACAGTTTCTTCTCTCGCACTTCTCACTTGTGGGACTCTTTTCCGACTCTATGCTTTCCAATTTTAATCTTCAAAGATGTAAATACAATGTCAGTCGCTTACTGCTGTTCTCTTGATTACTCTTTTTTGTTCTTGCTCCTTAGCAATGTTTCTATTTCGGATTCTTCCACATCCAGTAAACCCTTTTGTCTTAGTGGATTTACTGCATTGCTTGGAATGAACTCAATAAAGAAATCTCATGACGTTTATAATTCTTTTCTTGTTTCTGGTAATATCCATAGAAATCTTTTCTTTTCTCTTGTCTGGTTTCATTTGCCCTCTTGTCGATTCTCCTGCAACTTTTGGTGTTCACAATCAATATCTTAGTACGTGTTGCATCTTCCTTAAGTTTTTTCATGGTCGAGTCTTCGCAATCCTCAATGCTAGCAAGCCGTCTTTCACAATCTTTTCTTTTTCAAAATCAGTCAAACCACGTTTCTAGGGCACAAGACTTTATGCATGGACATCGATTTTTATCATTTGCACGTGAATGTGTTTATGTATTCATTGAGTGATTTTATGGAATTACTAACATTCTCTGTTCATTATTGACTTTCAATTCAAATCATTATCGATCTTAAGCCCTTTGATTCCAAGGAAAAACATTCGAACATCCAGCGCTTTTGGACAACCTAAAATCAATAACCTTTTTTTTTTTTCTATTTTTTTTTTTTTTTAAATTTTATATCATCTCGTAATAAAATGGTAAATGACGTTTCTTAAAGACGAAGTATATAAAAGAATTCAAGATTTTAGCTGGTAAAGTCAAAAGACGATTTATTCACCAGAGAATCTAAAAAGGAATAACTGAAGCAATAACTTGCGATAAATATTCATTTAACTTATGGTGGCACGAATTCTTTTTGCGGTTTGTGAACATTTAAAGGTCAGGATGAAAAGAATCATGTTATCTTTAAATTATGGAGGTCATCATCAATTCAAATGATAACAGCGAAATGGACGCGTGTAGTGACACTTTAGGTGAAGTGGATTTTCCAGCCGGGCAGAAAAATTGTGAAAATTCTATGTCATGGCTGTAATATGGTTTCTGTCTGCCAAGACATCGAGTGAAAATTCAAATGGTAAATTGCTTTACTTGCTGCATTTATGTGTGTGCTAGTCGCCTTTGTAATTTTTTCTTTTCTTAGAAAAACAAAAGAGTGTACACTACACGTAACAACATTATTTTACCGGATATTCTGCTTCGAAAAAAATAATTCTTTTCCAAAACTAACTGTATCTTATCGGTCAACATTATAAACACGCTTGTTGACGAAAATAGTAATTTTTCTATTTTGTTTTTGTCAATCCCTTATAATTATATATATATATATATATATATATATATATATATATATATATATATATATATATATATATATATGTGTGTGTGTGTGTGTATATATATAAAGCTGAGAGATGTATACAGCAATGGTAATATTATTAACAGTTTCCTTATAAGGAAACATTCGGCATTCATCAACGGTGCGGCCAGCACTGCTTTTAGTTAAAATTTTATAAAATCTTTCTCTTAATTTTTCAGGAACATGGGTTTCTCAAGCTCAGTAGTAGTCATCTCTCTTTCCAGTATTGATGGGGGATTTCTTTCCTAAACTTGTATTTGGCTTACGGCAACATCACGTTGAAACACCAGTTCCCGTACGATCACTGAAGTTAAGCAACGTCAAGCGTGGTCAGTACCTAGATAGGTAACTGCTTGGGAATATCAGGTGCTATAAGCTTGGATGTGCGGATGGTTTAATGGATAATGGCTCGGAATTGTTAATCGGAAAGCAGAATTACCGTTGGGTTCGTTAAATTCATTTACGTGCAAATACACTTGGGAAATGTATGAATCCACCTCTTCTCCCCAGCTATGGGTTAATTAGTAAGACGTATATCGCTAAATGATTATTATCTAAGAAAAACTCTTATAATATAAAAATATATTCTAGCTTTAAATCATTTGCAAAGGTTTAATAAGTCGTAGAATATCAATCAATCAAAAAACAACACCAAACAAAGCAATGAAGCCACTAAAACGAAAGGGGTTACTAAGTGTAATAGAAAACGAATCAATTAATCAATCAGTAACCTTTCATTTGAAGTCTTATGGGACGTCAACATCTTGAATATGTCATTGTTTCCTTTTGGAGTTATATGTGCTATCCATTTTAGTTGTTGCTACGGCTGATAGTCCTCAAATGATGTGGTTTCAGTTATTTGGTACAGTTTTTTATTTGTTATTATGTAGCACCAGTCCGCAATGTTATAAGAAGATAAACTACATCCGCGTCCTGGGTAAGACGATAAACTACATCCGACAGCAGGGACTCTGACCATGAGGTTATTAGGAGATTGGTACCAGCTCTTAATTGCCGGGGTGGTATCACCTGTCGGGGTCTCAGCTATGGGCAAATAGTTAAACCCCAAAAGTGGTCAAAACACTATAAAAATAGGTTTTAATACCAGCATTTTGTAAAATTATTACCAACAGTACACTTTTAAGAAAAAATATTACCAACAATATATTTTTGGGGAAAAAATATTACCAGCAATTTATTTTAAAAAAAAATATTCTCAACAATACATTTTTTAAAAAAAATGTTAGCAGCAATACATTTTTGAAAAAAAAATATTACCAGCAATAAAAATCTTGTTGGCATTAAATAACCCATTCAGGTTGGTATGCCGTAAAACAAAACAAATCAAACCAAAATATAACAATCATGGTCTTTGCTGACACTCAGCCTTCACTCGTTCTAAGCCATTTTTAACTTTTGATCTTAGAAAGCGGTTGTAGAAGAAAAACAACATGCCATTCACTTATAGCAGGATGTATAGTAAATGACTAAAAAGAAAGCAAAGCGCATTCCTCCGTCTTTCTCTTTCACTACTGGAGGTGGATGTTGGAGTGGATATTGGGGGTGGATGTTGGAGTGGATATTGGGAGATGGATGTTGGAGTGGATATTGGGGGTGGATGTTGGGGGTGGATGTTGGGGTGGATATTGGGAGATGGATACGTTTCTCATCTGCTGGACTTCCTCATCTCAGAACTGACTCATAGTAAGATTCTGAATTAAGACATTTCTTTCTTTTCTTTGTATTTGCATTTATCATGTCAGACTCCAGGTTCTCAAAATAAACTCCTTTTCTTACATCATATTTGGTTCAGTTCTTTTGGGAAAAAAATTTAAGGTGTACATTAATTGTATTAAATAAGGTCTTTTGAAAGCAATACATTTTTAAATAACTCCATATCGAATGACTTCCGATGTTGACCTCACACTGCCAGGGTCATAACTGGATGCTTTGGAGATCTTTATATCAAATATTAGGTTAGCAGGCCTTCTCGTTTGAGTGCGGTCGGAGCACAGAAATGCAAAGAGAAGCCTTCTATAGAAATCTATTTTTTCTATAAGCATTTTTTTTTATTCATATCTCGACTTTTTCCATTGTTATTTCATTCTCTTTCATATCTTTCATGAGGTGGCCTCTTTAAGTATGGAACTTTTAGATAGTTTTTTTTCTCTCTCATTGTCACATTTTTATGTCTTTTTTTCTGTTTTTCGTCTGTTTTATACACATTCTCCAAACATCTTTTTACGTGAAAACATTAGAGATCACTCTATCTCTCTCGCATTCATAAAACAGACAAATGCTATTAACCGATAAGATGGCGTTCGTAATGGTAGAAATGCCAATTTCAAAGCAGCCATGCAGTTCTGACTGCGTTGGTAGAATGCAAAGTAAAAGATATTTTCTAAATATTAACTTAAGCTCCATCAATATACATGCATATAAATCTCGCAAGGCCGCATTTTTTTTTTTTTGACAACATAACATTCCGCGCATGCGCACACTCAAAACGTACGGACACTGTTAGATGCATATTATGTAAGTCGTAAGTAATTTCCTTTTTTTGTCATCTTAACCCTTAATAATAGTATGTAGCAGTTAATAAGTTTTGCGTGTAATAACATTGAATAGCGTTTAAAGCTAACTGGTAGAGGATTGACAAGATTAAATTTTCAAAACCCGAAAAGCTGAGCTCTGTAGATCTTGTAATGTTATGTGCGTAATTGAATCGTCGATTTCTTTTAGAGTTCTTAAAACGCAATGGCACACTAAATGCATATTTATATGTCCATCAGCTGTTACATGTCGATAATAGTTTGCTGGAGATGCTCGTCAATGGGAAAACTATTCTCTATGACAACGTAAGGCCGCATACAGCAAAAACAACACAGGAGAGCATTTTGGAATTCGGCTGGTCTGTTCTACCACACCGCCATGTTTATTTACCCCTGTACAAACAGATTACTACATTTTCGATCGCTGCAAAATGTTTGATGAAGAAAATTTTATCTAATGAAAACCAAATCCAAGAGTTCGTCGAAATCTATTTAAAAACAAAGCGGATTTTTACTCAAAAGTTGTCGATAAATGAAAAGGTAACTAATAAGTGGCAACAAGCTATTGCATATATTTTTGAATACATAATTAAATAAAATATTATTGTACTTTATGTTTTTGGAGAATAAAGCTGATAAACAAAAAGTATTTATTGTTGACTCAAGCTAATGGATGAATCGATCAATGGATAAATAGAAGAAAACGAAATTATTCGTTCACGCATTCTTAGCAATTTTTTTTTCTTTTACATAGCTTTCATTGTCTTGTACTTTCAATCACACAAACAATTATCTTAAAGGCAAACAGGGTTTTAATTAGTTTGTGTTCCTATTTGTGTTGTAAATTGAAATACACGGCCAACAATATATGTTTTAAATGTGACGAAAAGTCAGATTTTAATTAAGCAAAAATAGACATGAAATGTTCAAGAAAAACGAAAATTAATTTCATTTATTTGTAATTTTAAGATATTTTCGAATAGATGTTGTCCTTTCGAATCAGGCTATTGTAGTCTATTTTTTATATGTAATTAAAAAATTTATTTCTCGAAGTACGGACTTGTATACACACATGTGTAACTTTAGATTTGTGTCTGTTTAAGCAGGTTAAATATTTGTGAAATGATTCGAATGTTGATAGTGCGCATATGCCTTCGTCTGTCGTCCAAAAAAGTTACATCAAACATCTGGATGTTTGATGTCGGTACAATGTTTTACAATGTTTAAAATCAAAAACATAATTACGTGAAAAATATTTTTAGGTTGCAGGATTCTATGAAAAATTTGCATCACATCAATACGAGATGTGCCATTTTTGGATTTGTGCTTTTTTTTTTCTTTCTACAAAACGTATCACTTTTTTTTAATCATTTCACCCCAAGAAAGCCACTAAGTCACGAGGGGTTATTGAGTGTGAAAGTATAAGAAAAAAGAGAAACATTATTAAGGCGCGAGAACAATAGAAGAGTAATCAGGAAGACAGTAGATATCGATTGACATTGCATTTATATTTTTGAAGATCAAAATTGGCTGGAAAGCTTGCAGACGGAAGAAAGTTTCCTAAGCGAGAAGTGCCTGAGAAGAAACTGTTAACAAAGAACTTACGGTTACATGTAGCCAATTCAACTGTAAATTGATAAGAACTTCCTGTCAATCTAATACTGCGCTTAAATTCATATATACCATAGAGGAAAGTAATATTTATTTTGAATAATACAAAATGTGGTACAAGGCTAAAGAGGGTGTAGGGGTGGGCTGGTCTTCAGTCAGCCTTATCTTAAACATAGCTAACCACGATTGCAGACCCAAAGTATTCCTTACACCAAAACAACACCTTCTTACTTACTAGTTTCCATATGTACAGCGTCCTGGGTAAGACGATAAGTAAGGCATTTGCTCAGGAAGTTTTGAGGAGCGTTGAACCACCTCTTAATTGCTGGTGTTCCCAGGTTCACACTAATCCAGGATGGTAACACCTGTTAGGGTCCCAGCTATGGGCAAATAGTTGACCCCTAAACTGAGATCAAAACACTATGAAAGTGTAAATATACGTTTTAATACCAGAAATACTTATTTTTTTTTAAAATTATTATCAGCAATACATTTTTTTTTAAATAAGAATGTTAGCAACATTTTTTTAAAAAATAAGAATGTTAGCAACATTTTTTTTTAAAATAAGAATGTTAGCAACATTTTTTTTTAAAATAAGAATGTTAGCAACATTTTTTTTAAATAAGAATGTTAGCAACATTTTTTTAAAATAAGAATATTAGCAACATTTTTTTAAATCAGAATGTTAGCAACATTTTTTAAAATAAGAATGTTAGCAACATTTTTTTAAATAAGAATGTTAACATTTTTTAAATCATTTTTTTTTTTTAAAAGAATGTTAGCAACATTTTTTTAAATAAGAATGTTAGCAACATTTTTTTAAAATAAGAATGTTAGCAACATTTTTTTTTAAAATAAGAATGTTAGCAACATTTTTTTTTTAAATAAGAATGTTAGCAACATTTTTTTTTAAATAAGAATGTTAGCAACATTTTTTTTTAAATCAGAATGTTAGCAACATTTTTTTTAAAATAAGAATGTTAGCAACATTTTTTTAAAATAAGAATGTTAGCAACATTTTTTTTTAAATAAGAATGTTAGCAACCTTTTTTTTTAAAATAAGAATGTTAGCAACATTTTTTTTTAAATAAGAATGTTAGCAACATTTTTTTAAATAAGAATGTTAGCAACATTTTTTTTTTAAATAAGAATGTTAGCAACATTTTTTTTTAAATAAGAATGTTAGCAAGATTTTTTTTAAATAAGAATGT